AGAGTACATGTGGTTGAAATAATACAGCCATTCCATGGAGAGCTTTTTGGTGTATAAACATTTTCTTAATTGATATGGGAGGCCCTTTGAGATTAAAGCATTTCAAAATGTTGTGCAATTATTGGTTTCCTTGAGTGGTTGCTAAGAACCTACACACCATTGGTTTTCTACATTCTATTCAAAGGTGAGAATTTTGACCACTTTCGGATTCTTTGTGTCCTTAAAGGAAAATTCACAGCTCCATGGTTGGAACACCCAAATCACTAATCCACCATCTGATCACAAGCAACATGGGTGTGCTTGAAATGCTTATGTGTGAAGGTAACTTGGAAGAGAAAGGACATGGGGTGGGGGCAAAAAAGTGTAATTTAAAGCCTCATGAAAGTTAATGTAAGGATAGGTAACCCTGGAAATCTGTGCCTAGGATGGTTCTTGGAAAGACCGGGTGCTGCATTTTAAAGCCAGCAACTTAACTGTGATGCATCCTCCACCCACTGTTCCAAAATGAGTGCCATCAGCACCCACTCACTAGGAACTGCAAAGGCTAAATACATCAAACCTAAGCAGTGTAGTGGACAGTCAAGGAGGAAGAGGAATCCCTGAGTCCCTTTCCCATGACAATGCAGCCCTAAACATGCTCCTTTCTCCACATGTGACAGCTCTGATTTTCCTGTCATTTAAATTGACATCTTCTACTCATGATTCCCTAATGAGTTTCAAAACCAGCACCAGGGGCATTGAGATGCATAGGTGCATATTTTGCAAGGAATCAATCATTTATTAGGCTGACTTATTCATGTGGAGAATATCCTCCTTTAGTGAAAAACTATGATAGAATGCACTTTCCTACAGGTTACAAGTGAGCAACCCCCTCTCTTATTTTGTAGGGTAGTACCTGGGCCATTCTTGTTGCCACTGGTTTGATAGTCCTACAGTTTATGCAAATGAAAGTATTACTCTCTCTAGCCATTGCCTCCATGGCCTATGACTTAAAAAAGTGCATTTATAAAAAGTCACTCCCTGCAATAGCTTCACTTAGAAGTAGTGTGTTAGATGATTCAATTTGGTATAATCCAGGCATATTTCTACAGTGCACAGAGTTAACATAAATGTTAGAATGAAGAAGCATGCACATAACAAAACCCGATGATTCTTTCCTTAAATATGAGGGACACCTCTACACAATCAACCTTCTCATCATCTTTAATAATCATAATAATACTGAATCATGAAATTTAAAATGCAATTAAAGCCGTCACTAGCATCTCTAGTTATTTCTCTCTATAACAAAACACTTCAGCTCAGCGGTCATTTTTTGTATTTTGGCTGCTTTGTGGATGTCTTCCTTTCCTAGTACTGTGGTCACCCTGTTATTTCCTAAAATCCTGCTGTTTATTTGAACATACAGCCAAAACTGACTACATGATTAACATGAGAAAATATGGAGCTTGATGAAATTCTAATAAAAGAGAGACCATTTAAGGAGATAAGTAACAACTTTTTTATTAATACTCAGAAACCTTCCTCTTCTCTTGTCACTTTAGTGACACACCCAGACAGATGTCACCACTGACCTTTTGGAAACCGTCCTCTAGCACAAATGAAACAAGTGGAATGTGTTGCCCTGCATGCAGCCTCCTCATGATGGACACGGCCAAATGGTTTCCCATGACAACGGCTGTCACACAATAGTAATCATAGGAGCAGTTAAATATATGGGGGAGTCTGACATGATAATACCTTTATAATTCACAGGAAAATGATTCCTTCATCACTGTGAACTACTTTCACTGTAAACAAAATAATTCAGTGACTTGATGATGAGTCGGATAAGAAATAGAGCAATGTTGATGGATGAGTTTAAGATCATGCTTTTAATGTTATGTAGCATCTACCAAATCACTAACATTACACAAAGACTCATTTTTTTTTCTGCAGCTAGAAATGTCAGGACCACTACAACATTATAGAATAAAATACTCTTCTGAGTTACCCAAATGTTAGAATTACCATGTTACACCAAAGGGCAGTGGTTTGACATTGACATGGATGACCCTATTAACTTGCAAGAATATTATAATGTCATATCTATTTCAATACATTGTAAGATGGCACAATCATTGTCAATTAGCCACAAGAATCTTTTTGCCCTTGTTTTTTGAGACATTCTCTCACTATGTAGCCCTGGATAGGCTGAAACTTGCTAAGTACCTAAGGCTAGCCTTGAACTTGCAAAGACTCACCTGCCTATGCTTCAGGAGTGGTGGGATTAGAAGGATGTGAGACCACCCCTAACTAGCCAAAATTTTAGTTTCTTCTACCATTACAATTGCTTTGCCTCTAAGTGAATAATCTGTTGTAGAAAACTCTAGTTTCTGTTCATTTAAAATTGTCTTTTACTTATTCCAATTTCAGTGGTAGTGAGTCTTTGATCAAGAATTATCCTGGAATCTTGTATAAATACACTCAGAGAGACAATTAACTTTCTCTGGCTGACAATAATTTTGCAGAGCAATGTGGCAAATACACTTGCCGAGTTAGCACAACCCACGCTTAACTACAACAGAACAACCCTTCAAATTGCACATATAGTAAATACATATTCTGCTTTTATCCCCAACAGAGCTTTATATGTTTTTCAACAACTTATGATCTAAGTCATTTATCTTATTTAAATGTGGAATGTACATAAGTATCACAGATACTTCATTAGAAATTATTTGAAATAAATGCATTATTATAGAAATTTGATGGTGGGAGGGAAGGAGAGGAAGGAGAAAGGAGAGGAAGAGGAATAAAAAAAACCCCCAGAAAATTGTATCTATCACTCTTTGATATTAGTGGTCTATCTTTAACTCATTGAAAGGGCCATGACTCAGCCGGGGCTCAGGTGAGAACCTCAGTGTTTACACAGGTCTCTCTGAAATATTTGCAAACATCTTTCCATCTACTCGATCCTGGAAAAGCAGGATACACAAGAGTCTATTACTACCATTTAAAACAGGCAGAAGAGGAGAAGTTCACACAGCGTTTAATATTAGGACTGGAAGTACCTGGCTTAGTGGGAAGTTTTAGGAGTTTCCTAGATGATGAATGCCATGTCTTGAGCTGTTTCCTGAGATTCTCACAGCAAAGAGAATCGTGCATATTATAGTACCTGGCAGAGATGCTTTTGATCTCGACAGCTTTATAAATTTCATGTAAAAGGAAAAAAACGCAAAACATTTACTGTAGGTTGGTGTTTACACTGTGTGTTGATGCCTACACAGCCTTGGCAGCACTCTGAGGACTTGGCAGTTTTTGTAAAATATGTCAAGAAAGAAGCACAACAACCTCACGCTGCACCAAACAGCACGGCTAAACTCCCTCCTACACCAGTGCAGTCTTGGCAATCTCTTTCTGCGCTCTTTACAAAGACAGGGCTCAGTCACATTCAAGGAGGCAGGCACCAGTGCTGTGGCATGATCTGCAAGCACTGTAGAGTCACATGCTAACACAATTTCCGTTAATTAAAGTAACTCTTTTATTTCAGCTCAGTTTTAAGCACAAGGAATTGGTTAAAAGTAAGGAAGGGACACACATAGACATTCTGGCATGCTCACTGGCTTTATGCTTCCACTTAAAAAGTCAAACTTGTGCATGAAAGAAATATAGGTTTGTTCTGAATAGAAATAGTTAAACCTAAGAAAATTATATATCTACCTATAAAAAAGTCTTTTCCTATTATAGCACTTCAATACATTTTTCTCCTTTGTATATAATTATAATTTAGTTCCAACTTATTCAAGCTGGTCATAATTACTCACTCCATATGTTTTCATTGTAGATGGATGGAATTAATTTTTAAATAACCAGAATACATTTTCATAATTACCTAATATTTTAAAAATAGTGTTTGTTCTTCACATTTTTTTTAAATGGAGGCTAGCAACAGTTCAGATACGCTGACTACTTACAAAGACCATGGATAAAATTAGAACCTTACAGCGATTTTTCAGATAAATAAAAGGGGTCGCCATCAAAAATAACTCCACAATGAACTGCAGGTTGTTGGTATAATTTTACATCGTTTTATTGCTTGTTCATGTTCTCAAAGTAAGTCTAAGTATAATTACGGGGGGGGGAAGCAATTTTTCAATGAGCCACTTGACACAATCCATTTCCTTAAAGTGTAATCCCAGAGGAAAACTCCCTTATGACAGGAAGTACACTAGCAACAACCCAGGAAAGCCACGTAGATGAACAATGGAGAACATGCTCCTAACACTCTCACACAGGATGCCCCCAAACTTTACCATCTCCATATGACCCAACAAAGGAGGGGATTTTATGACTATTTTAATGTTCAAACATGTGAAGAGTGATAGTTCCAGAACAAAATCACATACATTTTTGATTTGGAGAAAGTATATATATATATTTTTATACACCTCAGCATGGTTAGCCATTATTTCTAATGACTGCAGACAGGATGAATGGAGTGATTGTTCAGGCTTCTTCCCTGCTGGCAGCTTTAGCTGTGTGCTCTCTTTCAACTCTACACAGACTCCCTGCTATCCATGCTCAACCACTGTGTCTCCCCAATTTCAAACCTTCATCTTTACTGATTCCAGTCAGGACTCACAGTATGATGCCTTCTTTGGAGGAACCCACTGTACTTCAGTTAGATGATTCTATGTGTGACGCTCAGTTCTTCCTAATTGCAGAAGCATCCCAGCACATACATGATTCATGCTTGGGCTAACTCTGATCAGTTACTACGCATACAGGACTAAAGACTTATATTGACTCCAAGAGTCCTTTGTGACATAATCCAAATGAAGCATTTCTAGAAGTGATATATTTGAAAGCTTTGGACAGAAAATTAAAGATGAATCATTTATGGGTTTTGATTAAAAAAAACTTTTATGTGGAGTCTCTGATCATATCAAACCAAATGCTAAAATAAAAAGAAATTCTTCTTATTCTAAAAAGTACTGATAAACACAGAACCCACTCACCATTCCGACTCTCTTCATCAATGGCCACGATGGTAGCTGGTGGGCCTCCCCTAGCCAGTTTGCAATCTAGAGAAAAGATAATCAAAGACTATAATTAACAAGTGCAAGAGCACTTACTCAAGGTTAAATTCACCAAGATACACACTGATATTTAAAAATTACAATCAAATTAACATACAACATTTCAAGGGTTTTGCTATGAAAAGAAAACATTTTCCAATGCCCACACAGATTCTATGGCACTGTAGCCAAACACTGCTCAAACCTTACTGTGAAACCAGAGAAGATGGCTGGGAAGCGGTCCTTCCGGACAGAGATAATGGAATGGCAATTGAATGCAGAGAAATACCATAGAGCGATGATTAACAGGATAAATGATGAGAAAGCTCCACAACAGAAACAAACATAATTGAAAATTAATTGTGATAAAGGGTATAATTAAAGAGAATGAATAGAATTTTAATAATGCTCTAAAAACAATAAAGGGAAAATGGACAAGCCAGGGATGCCATGAGGTGCTGGGGATTATTTTAGTTACCTTACCCTCATATTGCCAGTCTGGAGTCAAATTACAGAATCACCAATGGGAGCAGATCAGAAAACAGAAGAAAGAAAGGAAGAAAGGATACATGTATATATTTAGCGAGAGATTTATAGATACGTAAAATTCATTATACAATAATAGATGAATTACCTAATGATCCCTGGAAAAGGAACGCATCAGATTTTATAACACTAATATAGTATTAACATCAAAATTAGATAATGTATATCAACCATTAGCATAGAACTATTTAGCAGTGACAATAAAATAAAGTATACAGTTTTTTAAAAATATAAATAGCTTATAAAGAGTTTTTATCCTTACATTGGAATCTTCGGAGTAATGTCTGTCAATCATAAGTGATGATGAATTCACATTTTAAACCCTTGCCTTATTGAGTATTACTCAATAATGGCTCTAAAAATAGCATTTTAACATCTACAAGTTAAATGTGAAGGCTAAGCTTACAAGCTGCCACACGTACATTTCAGAAGCAGAAGACACTTTTGGAGAAACAAATAGGCTGATATGTGTACATATGTGTATTTATGCCACACTTATATGCATGCTGGAAAGTAACTTGATATACATGGCTAACACATGTGTGCCCTCTAGAAGGTGATTTCAAGGTTTGCTGATAAAAAAAAAAAATGTTTCCTGTCTTTTACGCATGTCAGCACAGGCCACGCCATCTTTGGAAGCATAGTTCTGTGAGGTAAGTTTTCATTTTCTCCTTTGAGGTGACAAGGTTGTGAGTATTTTTATCTCCTCTTTGTCAATGTTCATGAGTACCTTTCAGAGTTCACATGTACGGTAACGCTCTCCCCTTCTCTCCTCTTTTTGGCCCTCCCCACAGCTTAGCTTTCTGTCTGTCCCATCTGCTCTTACACAGCTTTTATTACCAGCCTCCCAGAGGCCCCGCTCCTGGGTTTATCTGTTCATTTCATGAGATACATTTGCGTGCGATCCAGAACACAGTTCAAAGAATGACATTTTTCTCCCCCAAAACATATTATGTGCTTTGTTTGAAGTAAGAGAAACGCTGAATAACCGTTGAAGATTTTCCTTCTCTGTCCCAGCTATGGCATGAATCTGGGTTAAATGGGTCCCTAAGTGTTCCTGTTTCAGCAATTTGATGCTTTGTATTCAGGTTGTGAGTCTAGCCTTCAATGCTGGAGACATTTCTCCAGCCCCAGTTTAGTCTTTGTATAGCAGGGACAGGAAGTGGTGTATTTATGGAAATGTGGCCCAGGGACACTGGGAGAATCACCCTCAGAAGGAATTAATCTTGCTCTCCTAGAACCTGATTGGTTCCCACAAGACAGAGGTGATCTGGAATGATGAGCCTGGCCCCACCCCATCTCCCCTTGTCCCTAGGTGGTCTCTTTCCTGTCTCCTGCTCTCCTGCCATTGATGTGTCTTTAATGAAGACTGGCAGATGGGCTGGCAAATCCTCATGTGTCATCCTCCTAAATCCTGTGTAAAAGGAAATTATAAAGAATTTCCCCATCCTAATGATTTTTGTATGGCAATACCACTGTGTATTTCATGGGAACAAAGATATTTGGTAGAAAGAGTTGGGACCAGAGGAACAATAACATCTAAACACAGGTAGAGTTCAATGCTGTGTTTGTGGAGTCAATTTTTTTTTTTTTGTGGAGTTTATTTTTTCCTAATACTAATGACAGAAATAGCTGAACTAATACAGTGACAACTAATTTGTGGAGAGGGATAGATGGACAATGAGAAGGCAGAAGTGGTTGAAGCGTAGAAGAATAGGAATCCCAGTTGATCCTAGGAGTAGAGGATTTTAGATTGTACTTGTCTTTTCAGGTGCATGGGATACAGCCTGTATTCTTAAGGACTGCTACCTTCACCCATGTATAGAAAGGGCCTAGAGCCATGGCAGATACAGAGAATAGACAAAACAATCACATTCCAGAATGACTACTGGTAGAGGAGAAAAAGGTACTTAATAAGTTTTTGAGCAGGCAGGATGAAGGAAAAGGGAGAAATTAATATACGTGAATGCTAAATTTCAGCAGTTGGTTACTACTAAGGATCGACCTTACCGCTAGCAAGATGGCTGAGCTGGGAAAGGCACGTGCTGCCAAGCCTAGAGAGAAACCTGATATCTATACCCGTGACATGTGGTTAAAAAAAAAAGGGCCAACTCCCACAAGTTGTCCCCTGACATCCCCATATATGTGCCGACACCCATGTGTCTATACATAAACACAAACAAGCAAGTCAAAGTAAACAAAAATGCAATAAAACATTTTAAGTAAAGGATAGGTCTTACACTGCTAAACCAAAAAACAAAATAAAATAGAAAGAAGAAAGGAGAAAGAGAGAGAGAGAGAGAGAGAGAGAGAGAGAGAGAGAGAGAGAGAGAGAGAGAGAGACAGACAGACAGACAGACAGACAGACTCATACTCAGTCCTGTTTGGCCCACAGTAACAGGTTCAAGGACCATTTCCTAGACATACTGGAACATATCTATTAAATGTTTTAATCTTCTGGGAAGTCTATTTTCCCTTTTTCCTGCCCAGCTTTATTCTTCTTTAGGAGTTTGACAGAGTATGTTTTCTTGTAGGAATCATCTATGTTGCATTCCATTGAATTCATTTCCCTTTGGCAAAGTATTGATTAACCTTACATCTACCAAAGCTTCCTTCAGGCCATGCCTGTGCCCAAGAAGAACTGGTTCTGAGAAAATACTGTTGGATTTCTATGGACAGTGGCCTACCCACCTACAATCTCCTATCTAGTATGCTTTCAATAGAACTGTCCAGACTTATTCTTTTCACTGTCCCCTTAGTAGTAGAAAAAGTCACAAAGTAAGAGTTTAACTCAACAACTTCTCAGTTAGATCCTTTATAGGGCTCCCATTTTCCACCAGTAAGCATCACCATGCCCAGCTGATACTTCAGGATTGGCCCAAACCTATTACCTATTGCCTATTTTCTTTATTACTTTTAAACTCAGAACACTAATGTGTTTGACAGACACATAATCTATTAATAACACTATTCAAAGCAGCTCAAGTGTTTGTTTTGAAATGATGTATTCATGAAAGTATAATTAGCTCTGAAATGCAAGAAAATATTTTTTTTTTTTTTTTTTCACGTTTTGAAACAGTGAATTTAATGATTGATGTCATGTATACAGTATCCAGCTTTCCATCAAAACATGACTTCATTGTAGAACATGTGGCCCATGCTCCCATAACTTAGTTTTCAAAGGTTTGTGTTCTAGGCTTTTAGGAGGACACCACATTTTTTTTTTCCCCTTTTCTATTTTAATAAAAAGGAAAAAAAAGAAAAAGGTTATAACTAACAAAAGAAAAACTATATACAAAAGTACAATGACTATATACAATATATACAAGTAATAAATGTCTAAACAATGTCTAGTCCATTTGTATTTGACAAATTCAGAGAAAATAATTTCATTATCTATCCTATTTTGTTAAGTCCAAAATGTATCTAATTCACTTTCTATCCTAATTAATCTTCAACTATAACTAACTAACCTTCAACTATAACTAACTAATCTTCAACTCCCTCAGAGACCCAAGAAGGAAATAATATTAGCTAACAAAAATAAAAACAGAAAGTGCATGCAAGCAACTTCCAAAAAAGTTAACTTTCATTGTGGCAAAAGTTAGCCACTGGACAACAAAGTATCCTTGAATCAACTGCTGACAAAATGGACAGACAGGACATGAAACAAAGGACTACTGATTCTTGCCAAAACGAGTGTGGTTATGGCTTTATCAAAAGGCATCTTCTGAGGCCAGGACAATATGGCACCATCCCTGAAGTGGCCTTCGCAATTTGGAAAAGGTACAGTGCCCTTTTCTTCGAAGGCAGCTGAATAGGCAGTGGGCCGATGGCTTCTGATGTGCAATGGAACAGCAGCTGAAACAGTTATTCTTGAAGAGTAACTAAGCTCACGCCTCGCAATAGTAAACTGGCATTTGACAGAGGGATGTGGAGAAGAACGGGATGTTAAGATGAAGCCATATATACACAGCCAAGAATGGACAGCTGAATTAAAAAATCAACAACAATTTCCAGAATTTAAAATCCTGAATCATGACATGACACTAGTGGAATTCAGGTGTTTCTGGTACATGGACTGCTCTCACCCAATGTGAGGTTGAACTGTCGACCTTGTGTACATCCTACTTCACAAATGAGTCTGTCAGATATGCTAAGCCTATAGGCTGAAGATGATGCCCCAACACTGTGGAGAAACCTCAGGTGACTGTCCAGGCAGATGGCTGTTTCTGTCAACTCGCAAGAAAATATTTTTAATAACAAGTTTATTTAGAATTGTCTTGAGAAGAAAGTAATTTGGATAGACTAGGCAAGGACTGATGGAGTGTAAAATATCCTGTTTGAAATCAAAGGGAATGCTAGGAAGCAATTCCGACTTTCCTGTTCTTTATGGCCTGTGAAGAACCTACCTGCCATGAGAAGAGTGACTCAGATGTTGGTGAGGAGACCTGGTAAATGGACTTCTCCTATCTGTTTAATTTACTCTTCACTGTCTTGGTTAAACCACATATTGGTTTTCCATGCTGAACATTTTCAACCTATTAGGGCCTTACCTATTTCCAACATCTAATTTGTTGCTAAATGTGAGATGTGAATGTCAATACCTGAATCAAGGTGGCTTATTCTACAGCTATGTCATCATGCTAAATGTATGCCATGCATCCTTCAATGATCTTACACAACTGTTTGGGTTGAGAATCAGAAGGAAGTCTTAGAATGACAGTGGTGATATGTCTGAGATTTGACTCCCAAGACATTCTGCTTGGATTGCAGCCTGAGGACCATTCCGAGTTAGCTACTAACTGAAATCCAGAAGAGGAGGCAGCCTGGAAAGACCATTCAGTTCTAAAACTTTCCTTTCATGTCAAACACTGTTGTTTCAATAAAATTCAGAGTTAATCACTTTTGTCATGTTCCAACATGACAAATGTCATCTGATTGACAATGAC